GATAGCAAGAGACAGTATTCAAGTACAAACACAACAAACCATTTAAGTGCCTACAATTAAGCAAACTGACCTACAGACCAATTCACTTGGGCTGAGAGTTCGATCCCGATTTGCTATTCGACTGTTGTTGTCTTATGCCAAGAGTCGGTATATAGGTTTGGGAATGTACCAGATTCACTGTGTTTTCGGGACCTGTTTTTTAAATTTATGGATATCTGGATCAGAAAGTCTGTATTATATTTTTAATATCCTTTTTGGATCACGATAACTATAAATCATTATTGTCGCAGGCGCACATGTACTTCAACCACAGCACGTGTCCAGTGCAAGGTAGTTTAAGTTTGCGGCATTTTTCACCATAATTTGCTAATTTTTTCAGTGAATCAGTGGAAGCACCTAATTTATATTGATATTTACTTAGTTGAGATTAGAACTCACTTGCCTTTATTATTTGGAAGGTTAACTTATTCCATGGCGAAACGATAAAGTACATTTTTTTTTTATTGTTAATTAATTTCAATAAGGTGATTGATTAATGAATCAAGGATACACGGACGAATATTGAACTCCCTTCGCTCATTATTAATCTACGACATTCGACTCTAGTTTAGCGAGCGGCCAGGGCCCCGAAAGATGTCGATCCACGCCCGGTCGGCATGAAGCCGGAAGAAACGCTGATGGACGTCCGAAGCTCCTACGACGTGCAAATCGATCGTCGAAACCAATCGAGGCGTCTAGTAGCTGGTTTCCGCTAAAGCTTCCCTCAGGACAGTTGTAGTTTGATCGTCGAAATTCTATCCGGTAAAACAAAAAATTGGAGACCCCCGGGCCGTGCATAGCATCTCGTTCCAAGATACGAGACTTTGTCATACCAACCATATTCACCCGATTTCTCGTCCATTTTTACCATGTTTTCAAGCATCTTGATAATTTTTAAGATGTAAAGATGTTTTGTTGCCAAAAAGACACAGAAATCGGATTAAGGGTTTCTATTTTAAATGATTTAAATACATTAATTCAGGAATACATCTTGATTCTACAATCCGACATTGTTTTCGGAACAATCTAATACTTAATTGTTTTTTCTAGCAACCTTATACTAAATATTATTTTCTGAACAACCTACTACTAAATCGATAGTAAGTAATATTTATTTGTACGCGTAGTTGTACAACATATGATACAACGTCGAGTTTAATGTATAACTTCGTAGCTGTTCAAAAATTGCTCAATAGCCCTCAGCACTCTTCCTTTTGGGGACGCCTCAGCAGGTAGGTAATGATTAGATCCCTCTGACGGGTAAGTTAATGCTTCGGGGCGTGGTTTTCCTGGGGCTTGAAACTAATATTCCTTTGACATTCTCCTTAGAATCGTCTTGACCAGGTAAATATATGTAGATAGTTGTAATTCGCGAGGCTAAAAAATAAAAACTGTAAAACAACTGGGGTTTTATAAGTGGTAATTTACACCTTGATCGCATCAAGTGCCTATAATTATAACCCCGCTTCTTCAAACCCAGAGTTGTAAAGATAAATAAATTATTTTTCCCAAAATAAACTGAAAAAAAAAATGGAATTTTCTCGCATTGTCGTTGCAAAACAAGCCCATTAGTGTACTGTGCGTTTGCTACGAACATCTATTAACTTAAGATGTCTGCTTTAACACTTCTATTGTTGACTCGATTTTGATATTGATCTCAAATGTCTGAAAACGAATCCGTATACATTTAAATTAAGCCAAACAATATAAAGCCATTAAGTTTGATGGTAAATGAATCGTGTTTCTCACATGGCACGTGAGCCAAGACATGATACCGAGTTCCTTCACTTCTAAAAAAAAAAAAAAGAAGTTTATAATAATGTCTGGGTTGTTTTCATTGTGTTTATCAATATAAACTGTCGACAGAGGCGACAAATTCTTACGCTTATTACTCGACATATGTCGCAATAATAATACATCTTAAGTATCTACATAATTTATTTTAATTCGTTTTTGTCTTTTTTTAAATTTCATAATGCAAGGCAAATATCTAAGACGTTATTATGAATGTGAGAGAATATGAGTAAACAAAATATTAAGGAGACAGAACAATAAAAGAAATAATTAAGAAGACCGAAGATAACAAATAGCACCGCATTTAAATTTGTGTAGTTGAGTGAGAAGCAAGAAATCGGAAAGGGATTCCACAAACGATAGAAGAATCTATTAGCATAGAACTTACGGTTAAACCTAGCCATTTTATCTTCAAAATGATGAGACCTTAACGCCAATCTAGTACTGCGCTTAAATTTATAATGCCTAAGTGCGAAAACGGAAAGCTCACTAAAACAACTGAAGTGGGCCCATGTAAGATCCTCACGTGGTGGATGCAGACGTTGTAATAAATAAAGAATAAAAGACGACTGACTTCTGATTTATACAAATTGTATTAAACAATATTACAAATAAGTCCTTGCAAACTTTATGGTGTCTCCGACCAAACTTATCTGCTGAAGAAGAGTCGATGTTTTCGCCATCGACGGACTCTGTGGGGATAACGGTGTAGAGCTGGCTAGTTCTGCAAGTGTTCATTTCATAGGTTTTACCAAGAGTGAGTGTTCTTCAAAAAGAGGTAGAAAAGAGCGCCAATCATCAACTGTAAGCTGATTGGCTAACCTTAAACTGCCAAGGGCAGATAACTATATCGCTTATTTCTCATAACAATTACCATGAAAAACATTTTAAGAAAAGGACACAGGGAAACAATGTAACGGCAGTGGGAAAGTGACTGAAGCCGAGATGCTAAGTCAGGACCAATAACATTGCAGACTCTTTTTGCATTTAATCAAGAATCTCTAAATATATACCAGAACAGTCTTTAATGCAATATTGGATGCATGGATGTATAATTTCGTTATAAACACCATTATTTTGTTTATATATCCTTGAGATTAAAAAAAAAAAATCTATAAAAGAAATACTGATATTTTCCAATCTTGGCCAATCGACATTCAGCTGAAAACTTGTTTATATAGTTAAAGCTCATCTTATGGGGTACGGAATTTAATTAATGTTATGAAACCAGATATCGTTCGTAAAAAGAGAGGAAAACGAACACGGAGGAAAAATTATAATCACCATAAATTGAAATTATATATATATATATATATATATATATAATAACGCGGGAAAACTATAGAACGCTGACCGGTTTTCGTTCCAGAGTTTTATGAGAATATATAAGAATGGTTGTTGAGTCTCCATGTGTCCATTTTGTAATATAAAATTACCTAGTGACAGAGGGTTTGAGTGTGCTGGCTTTGTTCAGATTGTTGATCACGCTAGATAAGACGCTCTGAAAATGTAACTAAGGTCGGCTCAGCATAGTTGCAGTATAAACCACAGGTTGGTTCTGTGGATGTTGAACAAACGCAAATATGCCTGATCGAGCGTCTGCAATAGGGATTAGCTATAGACGAGTATCCTTGAAGTTCGAGTGGCCAGCTCTTTCTCTCTCTCCCTCTCTCTTTCTCTCTCTCTCTCTATATATATATATATATATGTGTGTGTGTGTGTGTGTAGTCCTGTGTATGATGATAAACTACATCCGGCAGCAAGCCATCTAATCAGGAGATTGGAAGATTTGAGGAGCTCCTATTAATGTTGTTTCCAGGTTCACCTTGACTCGGACCCCAGCTATGAGATAAAGTGAAACCCCGAACAAAACCAAAACACTATGATAGTGTATTTGTTATAGTAAAAATTCTACCAATACTTTTTTACATAACACTACATATTTATAGTAAAAATTCCAACACTGCATTTTGTAGCAACATGACCAATACATTTTATGTATAGTAGAAGGCTACAATTGTGTTCAAAATATATTTCGTTGAAGCCATAAAATTGCGTTCAAAATATTTAGATTTCGGCATTAAATAATCCATAGACGTGTTGATATGTCGCTAAACTAAATCAATCAACCATATCACTCTCTCTCTCATATATATATATATATATATATATATATATATATATATATATATATATATATGTGAGACAGAGAGAGAGAGAGCGTTTTGACGATTGTCATATGCATAAAGCTTCGCATAGCATTGAGTGGTGATGTACAATTATATAAGTATCCTTAGTATACACTCGCCGTTGATAGATAGATAGATAGATCGATAGATAGATAGATAGATAGATAGAAAGAAAGAAATGATACATATTTCAGTTTCGGGGATGAGGAGTTATTATTTGCATTATTTAAAGTGTGACTATTGTCTTTCTTATTGCTACAACGTTTCGACTATTGTGCTCTCCGGCCTTCTTCAGGTGTTTGTCGATAAACTTATCCTTCAGAAAAATTAGAATTGAGGAGTTATTATTTACATTATTTAAAGTGTGACTATTGTCTTTCTTATTGCCACAACGTTTCGACTATTGTGCTCTCCGGCCTTCTTCAGGTGTTTGTCGATAAACTTATCCTTCAGGAAAATTAGAATTGAAACCTTTATTTAATCTCCAAAGCTTTATTATGTCTGTGGTTATGTATGAGAGAATGGATGAGTGAACAAGTGAGAAGAAAACGAAACAAAATTTTTTGCTTATGAAATTAAACGAGCCATTCAGAAAATCCAAACTGGCCGTGAGTGGCCCACTGGCTGCAGTTTTTTTCCCATGACTGATTTACATTATCTATATTCCTCACCTTTGTTGATACTATTATAATATTCCTGCCGTTCTACACGCCAGACTTGTTCAGGTATCTGTTCATCCGGATAACCCCTTTAAAGGAATTTCTAGCTCAACACTTTATTTAATTTATAGTGAGAATAGGACATATAATAACAGAGACGCACTTTCAAAAAAAAAAAAAAAATGCATGATGTCCCTCACTGTGAACAGGTGAACGAGAACAATATATCCCCGTGGAGTAAATAAAGTGTTCATTTTAAAATTTCCTGAAGTTTAGCCGGACTGACAGACACCTGAAGAAGGGTACAACGACCGAAACATTATGACAGGAATAAAGATTGTCCAGCTGTAACAACGGCCGAAATATTGTGACAATAACAAAGAAAAAAGAAATGTTGAAAAAGAAGGAAATGTAGAAGTAGAAGGAAATGTAGTAATGGTCGTAGTAGAAGAAGAAGAAGGAAATGTACAAGAAAGAACTGAAGAAGGAGGAAGTGTAGAAGGAAAAAGAAGGAAATGTAGAAGAAGGAGGAAATGTTGAAAAAGGAACGAGGAAATGTAGGAGAAGATGAAGAAGGAAATTTTGATGGAAAAGAAGGAAATGTAGTAGTAGTAGAAGAAGAAGAACGAGAAAATGTACAAGAAAAACCAGGAAATGTACAAGAAAGAACTGAAGAACGAGGCAATGTACAAAAAAAAACACGAAATATATAAGAAAGAACTGAAGAAGGAAGAAATGTACAAGAAAATCCAGGAAATATACAAGAAAGAACTGAAGAAAGAGGAAATGTACAAGAAAAACCAGGAAATGTACAAGAAAGAACTGAAGAAGGAGGCAATTTACAAAAAATAATAACACGAAATGTACAAGAAAGAACTGAAGAAGGAAGAAATGTACAAAAAAAATCCAGGAAATATACAAGAAAGAACTGAAGAAAGAGGAAATGTACAAGAATAAGAAGGAAATATACAAAGAGAAGGAAATGAAGAAGGAATTTTCATAATGTTTTGGATGTTGATCCAAATCATTATGACTGTAAGAAAGACTGTCCAAAAAGACGAAGCATTATGACGGTAACAAAATTTTTCCAAAAGTAATAACGACCGAAACACCGTGACAATAAAAAAAGGTATTAGTGTGACTATACATAATACAAACTAAAAGTACTGGAAGAATTTCCGTCTTGACCACTGTTTACTGGGCACACTTAGGAAAAGCATTGGCAAATTATTGCCGGCTAAATAACAGAATTAAATTGAATTTTCTATGGCGGTGTTAGTTTTTTTTTTTTTTAACTTTTTTAGCGTGATATTAATTTTTATTTGTTTCTTAAGAAATTTAACGATCTTTTTGACAGCACACTGTTTAGGAGAGATAGCAAAAAGGTTTAATTTACTCGGAGCCATGATTGCCAACGTCCTGAAGGGACCCGGCACAAAGAAAAGGAAGTTTAATTCAACTGCTTCGTGTAAAAATAAAAATGAAATTAATAAACTGACTGTAATTCAATTGTCTTGCTAAAATAGATGACAACAGAGCATCTTTTTCGTTAAGTTGACGAGCAATTCTTGATTTGCTAAGTCGAAAGTTGAACTTGTATACATAATGAAATCAGACTACCTCATGATCCCCCGAAAATGAACACGCGAAGACAGGTTGAACTGGGTCAGAAAATACGGACGGTAAATTACATGGGGGACGGGGCATTAGTACTAGGTGAATACTAACTGCCTCAGACCGTATTTGACCTCGGTTCGTCAGTTTCATTTTTCGTTAACGTAACTCCGCCCCTTCTGCATGCAACACATGATACGTCATAGACATTAATGCATATAGATGTGTGTAAAAGATTTGTAAACTGACTGAGAAAAAGGGTAATTGTCGAACGCATTTTTCTGTCATTTTGATAAAAAATACCGTGTGTCGTTTTTAACGCGAATGTGTGTGTCCGCGTTAAAAAAACAGACACACGGCATTTTTTCTTATTAATCTCATACGTTCTGATGTAAAATAGACAATTAGATAAAGATTCATTTTATAATATTTGCAGTTTGAAGACGAGTCGATAGAAGATGTAGACGAAGAAGAAGATTAAGAAGATAGAGAGGAAGAAAGAGATGTAGAATAATAATAATAATAAGAAGAATGAAATGTAGACGAAGAAGATAAAAATGAAAACGAAGAGGAAGACGATGGAAATGTAAAAGAAGAGGAAGGAGGAGGAAACGAGGAAGAAGAAAAAGTAAAAAAAGATATGTTAAAAAAAGAAGAAAATGTAGAAAAAAGTAGGAGGAAATGTTGAAAAACAAGAAGGAAATGTTGCAAAAGAAGAAAATGTAGAGGAAGAAGGAAATTTGAAAAACAAGGAAATGTTCATGAAGAAGAAGGAAATGTTGAAAAAGAAGAAAATATAGAAGAAGAAATGTAGAATGAAAAGAAGGAAATGTAGAAGAAGAAGAAGAAGGAAATATACAAGAAGAAGGAAATGTAAAAAAAGAAGAAGGAAATGTTGAAAAAGAAAATATAGAAAAAGAAATGTAGAAGAAAAAGAAGGAAATGTAGAAGAGGAAGGAAATGTAGTGCAGAAGAAGGAAATATACAAGAAGGAAATGTAGAGGAAGGAGGAGGAAATGTAGAAGAAGGAGGAGGAAATGGAGAGGGAAAAGAAGAAAATGTAGAAGAAGAAGAAGAAGAAGAAGGAAAATATACAAGAAGAAGGAAATGTAGAAGGAGAAGAAGAAGGAAAATATACAAGAAGAAGGAAATGTAGAAGGAGGAGGAAATGTAGAGGAAAAAGAAGAAAATGTAAAAGAAGAAGAAGAAGGAAATATAGAAGAAGAAGGAAATATAGAAGAAGAAGGAAAATATACAAGAAGAAGGAAATGTAGAAGAAGAAGGAAATGTAGAGGAAAAAGAAGAAAATGTAAAAGAAGAAGAAGAAGGAAATATAGAAGAAGAAGGAAAATATACAAGAAGACGGAAATGTAGAAGGAAATGTAGAAGAAGGTGGAAATGTAGAAGAAAAGAATGAAATGTACAAAAAAGTGAAATGCTAAAGAAAAAGAAAGAAATGTAGAAGAACAAGATGAAGAAGGCAAAACCCGAGTCAAATAAATGCAATATCAAATGTTATACGTGTAAATCAAAGTTAAAATTTATCTGTACATACCACAGACAGGGAGAAGACACTGACGTGTCACGGTAAAGTTTAAGACCCTGATGATAGTTGTAAGTTTTGACTCGAAGAAGAAGGATTGAATTTTATGTGCTTGGTACGCGGGTTAAAACTACACTATTGTAAATTTATTGATAACATCTGATTACGGTTATTCAAATACATCATGAACTCTCTGAGGGAAAAAAGTTTGCTGCTTTAAAATAAAAAAAAAAAACAGAATCTAACACTGGGCTAGGGGTTGGTAAGCCTTGTAATTCGTTTAATTTTTACGTGTGCAGTCTTTTTGTTTTGTTTTTTTTTAATATTTTATTTTGTAGCCTTAGAAATGAATTCCGTGAACTTGAGGCAGTTGGGTGGAAATGAAGGTGAGTGGTTGATGGAGAATGGGGGGGGTGACGGTATAGCGAATAAATTTTAAAAGAGGGAGACGATGAAGGGTACCGAGCGAAAAGGAAACGACGATAAAGAAAGAAAATATATCAATATGGATTTTCTGGTACATCAACACTTATATGGGTCATAATGCGGCAAAGTGAAATATTGGAATCAAACTGCTTTTTTTTTCTTTTAAAATTCCTCTTCCATTTACAAACGTCGCTGTAAAAAACGAGAAAGTCGGTCAGCAAGTGTAAAGGAAGACATTCTTTTCTAACCCAGATATAGAAGCTACCGATAATATACACACACACACACACACACACATATATATATATATATATATATATATATATATATATATATATATATGTGTGTGTGTGTGTGTGTGTGTATATGTATAATATTTTAATTATAAAAATTATAATAAAACGTATTACATAGCTACACAACAGCTTTCATGTTTCAATACTATGATTGTACTTCTTCGGGCGATGGTTGGTAACTGGTGATAAAAATATTTTAGCCAAATTTAAAATTTAAAATGTCTTCTACCCTTAACTTCCGAAAAGAGGTAACGTTTTGTCTTTAAATTTCCCTAAAAAATCATTTTATCACCAGTTACCAACCATCTTCTGAAGAAGTACAATCATAGTATTGAAACATGAAAGTTTTTGTATAGTGATGCAATACGTTTTTATTATAATTTCTTATAATAAAAATATTATTATAATATTTTGCTCTACTTTGTATTGAGTAATTTTTTCAAAAAGTAAATGCTACGAACTGTGGATTTTTATTACATCCGTTTCTTCCTTTTATTTATATATATATATATATATATATATATATATATATATATATATATATATATATATAATATGGTTAAACGAAGTCGTAAATCTCTATACTTAATAGTCCGGGTTTTTTTTCACTTCACTTAAAGAAACAAATATAAACAGAAGTAGTGGTACCCGTGAAAATTTAACAGTTTTCCTTTTTAAATTTTATGATGAATCACAGTTCTTCAGTTCATTACCGAATAAACGCCATGTGAGTTCCAAGACTATGAAATAACTGTAATAATTTCCCTATTGTATCTGGAAATAGTTGAGTTTAAAAACTTTAAGAAAATATTGCGATAGCAATCATAATCATGCACACAGGTTATCATCTAAAGAAGTAAGGGGTATAAATGAAAAATTTTGGAAAGTTTTTATTCCTTCCTTCCGTCTTTCTCTTACTCATGATTATTATGCATAGTTTCTTTTTCTCATTACAATCAAAAAGCGTCTATATTTTTTATTTCATTTTTCCTCCCAGGCAAAACGGAGTGGTCCGTTATTTATCTGAGGTAATGACAGGGCGCAACGCGCGTGTTAACTTTCGGAGGAACATACAGGATTCTAATATATCTTTAGAATACAGAAAAAAATGTTATCGAAACAGTTTTTAATATAGTCATAAGTATGTTTCTGTCAATGTCCGAGCCGATCCGATGAAATCATCAGCAATTTTAGTTCACCTTGAATATACACGTTCTGATATAAAAAAAAAAAAAATGTTTTCCCTAGACACCGTTCCATATATTGTTAATGTCTCGATACAGGTTTACTTGGAAATGAAGCCTGGACATAAAAAAAATAAAAAGAAACTATGAAGAAAGCAATAATTGGTTTAGGTAAAAAGACAACGAAGTGTAAATATCTCAACGGAATTCCAAAAATGGCGTCGTCACGAACATTCAAAACCGGGTCCATTTTTTGGTTGGCCATTTATCCTGATCCAAGCGCCCTTACACTGGGAACCCACCCCTCTGGCTTCAGTGCCAAACGACTGAATCAACTAAGGATCAAAACATTCTTGCTCTGTTGTTGTTATGTATGCGAAACGTGGAATTAAACATTTATTTAATAGCTCCTTTATAGCGTTCTATCAGTATAATTACCGTACTTTTCAAATATATTCCGCTTTGGAATGTTGATTAGCACCGTTTTATCAGAGTGGAATGTTAATATTTGTCTGGCCAAACTTTGATGACGATTATAATAATAAATTCAATATAAAATTAGACATAAATTTAAAAAAAAAACAATGGTTATTCGAATATTTAGAGATAAATCACAAGACGTAAAAATCTACATGCATCAAGTTCCTTCGCTCAGTCATTGTTATTTGTTAGCTCGGATTACATATGATGGCGGAAAGTTAAGTAGAAAGAAAGCTATACAAAACGTAATATAATTGAATGAAAGCTATATATTTTTTTAGTCTCCTTATGTTTGTGTTGAATTATATTGAAAACTAGACTGTTCTTTTGTTGCTTCTCAACCTGTACACTAAACAGAGGAATGCATTTCGTTTCGAACTCTAACAAGGAGAGAAGGAATTTCGAGGAAAGAGAGAGAGGTTGTGGAAAGAAAAACAGTGAGGTAGAGATAATAAAGATAATGAGAGAATTGTTAAAATAACAGGGCGGGGGGGAGACGAAATACCGTTTTAGAGAGAGAGGGGAGAATTAAGTGAAAGCTAGTTAATAAAGAATAAGAAGGAAAAAAAAAGCGAAAAATAATGCAAAAAAAAAAAAATATAGTAACGATGGAACAGGAATACAGCGAAAGAAAATGACAAAAGATCTTAAAATGGAGTTACGATATTGAACAGTAGAGAGGGGCTTAAAGTTCGTAAAAAGAAAATCAGAAAAAAAAAAAACAAAAAAAAAACGAAGAGAGGTGAAGGTTTGAGTCACAACAATACGAACAGAAAGAGAAGACGAAAGAGAAGGAAGAGAAATAGCGGGAGAAGTGATGCACGATTATGCTCATGTCATGATTATAAGCCCCGCCCCTTAATTAACTCTTCTGAGCATTGAAAACAACATTACCCATTTCTTATTCACTCACTTGTTCTATGCAGTATTGGTACTGTCATTGATATTAAGACCTCATAATAGCGATGATGACGACGACGACGACGATGATGACGAATTAAGGTAACAATGGCGATTATTATTACAGAGCCGATAAGGAATGCTTTACTTGGTGATGACGATGGCACCCTTCCCCAGGGTTGTGGTTGTAGCTAAGAGGAAGTCTCGTTCGTCTTGTATTTTTATTTCAGTTTAGGTGCTTGGTCTAATAGTGGTGGATTGGTTCCCTTTTCTCCCTTTTCCCTCAGCAAACTATCACATTCTAAAACCCTGGATCATTTTTTTGAGGACAAAGACGGGGAGAGGGAGAGAGAGACAGACAGACAGATATCCTTGTTTTTCCCTTTTTTTTTAAACACACAGACTATGGGTCAGTGTTTGATAAACTTACGTAAGACTTGTCACCAGAGAAAATATTCTAGAACATGCTTGATAGACCAAGTACTATATATATATATATATATATATATATATATATATATATATATATATATATATATATATATATATATATATATATATATTATATAATATAAATATATATATATATATATATATATATATATATATATATAGTATACAAATGATTGCAGTCTGAAAAGTCATACAAAAACTAATGACATTTGTTGAACAACTCAATGGGTACGATTTCAGTGAGAAATATTTGAGCAATATTTTATTTTTGTTACATTAATGCTAATTACAGGGAACGTAGTTTTCAAGCCTGAAGAATGAAATATACATAGTATATATATATTGCATATATAATATACATATAGTATATATATACATATAGAATATATACATGTATAATATATATATGTGTATATATATATATATATATATACATATATATATATATATATACATAGAATATATATATATATATATAGTATATATATATATACATATTTATATATATATGGTATATATATATATATATATATATATATATATATATATATATATATATATACATATAGTATATATATATACATAGTATATATATATATACATATAGTATATATATATATATAGTGTATATATATATATATATATACATATACTATATATACATATAGTATATATATATACATGGTATATATATATATATATATACTATATATACATCACATATATATAATATAATATATAAATATAAATATATATACATAAACTATATATACATATAGTATATATATATATATATATATATATATATAGACATCACATATATATAATGAACAAAATATATATAAAATAAACTATATATATATATATATATGTATATATATAAAATTAATATGTATATATATATATATATATATATATATATATATATATATATATATATATATATATATATATATATATATATAAATAAATATATATATATATAATAAAAAGATAATATATATATATATCACACGGACTATGTAATGTATATATATTTGTATATATATATATATATATATATATATATATTCAATTCAGTCGCAGTAAATTTACGTCTAGTTTCTTACAACGTACCACCATTCTTGGCAGATGTTGTTATCACACTGTGGGATATTTAAAAACAAAGAAGATGCAAAAACTGAGAAAAAGAATACAGTTGAATTTTAATAGATTGCAAAAATTATTTTTTTATATTTTGAAGGTACCAGTGTCTCTCGTTCATGCGCATGCGTTGTCATAAACCTAGACCGATGAAGTCTTAATCGATGAAACATGTCACAAATAAACTTTTTTCCATTTTCTCTTACAACTTCCTCAATACTGTTCTTTATATAAAAACTATATATATCGTTATGTCATATATATATATATATATATATATATATATATATATATATATATATATATATATAATAATAATAACTCATGTTTCAATTTTAATCAAAAATATTATTATAATAAAGCTCTACTTCTGTATGGAGCACTGTCTTTAAAAATAAAATAAAATACTAAGGAACCCTGATTATGCACCCAACGTGTTTTTTTTCTATTTTCTGCATACCTGCGCACTTACTTTTATATATATATATATATATATATATATATATATATATATATATATATATATATATATATATATAAAGGGAACATTGAAGTCAACACTCTGATGCGACAGGCTGTTTCATGCTAGACGCAATCGTCTTTTCAAAAATGTTTTTCAGCCTAGCAAGGACATTAATTGA